AAGCCGGAACGTCCCGCTCGCTGCTGACGACATGAGCAGGTAGCGGAAACCCTGGTGCGAGTCGTGAACAAGGTGCAACGACGAGACGACGGCCACTAGCCGGATGCCGGCCGCCTCCCGCCGGCCGCAGAGGTCAACAAACGACAGCTGTCCGGCGCCGTTGGCCATAACGGCATAGTGCGCACCGTCCCATGCATCCCACCAGATCAGCGCGCTGGGCGCAGTTCGTGACGGCGTGCCCGGGCGCTCACTCACACTCCCGGCGCCGAGACCAGTCCCGGTGCTGCTGGGTGCCCCGGTCCCGAGCTGTGACGCCGGCATGTGGGTGGCGGCGTCCGACGGCGCAAGCGCCGCCAGCGCTGCTCCGTACGGGTCACGAGCGGCAGCGCGGGCGCGAGCTGACTTATGCCCGGCACCCTTAGCCCGGGCGCGGTCAGCGGCCGGCGACGAAGTGCCGATGGCGTCGGCGTAGGCCTGCAGCGACGGGAGTGACGCCGTCCGCTCGCGGATCTGCGGCGTCTCGACCGGCTCCGGCTCGAGCTCCGACCCTAGCAGTGCGGCGCTTGGCCCACTTGTTCGCACAGCACGAGTCGCGCCCGACCCACCAGCCGTATCAGGCGTGTCGGCAAAGGCTGCTGGCGGCGCGCCCACGATCTGTTCAAACAGAGCCGGAACAAGAAGCGCCATGACTGGCACCAGAGTCAGCGAGCCATCGACTCCAGCCACGACAAGCCACATAGCAATGGGATCAAAGGTGAGCGCAGCAATACCAGGTGTAGTCGGCCATGGAATGCGACGTGAGAGCGGTGCCGGTGCTGCCAGGCCCTGATACTGGACAATGAGAAAGCCTGTCGATGTGGAAGAGGAGGGTGGAGGGTGGTGAGGAGAAGGGGGATGGAGGCAGGGGAAGAGGAGAGGGAGAGGGGGAGGGGGGGGGGGGGGGGGGGGTTAGAGAGCACGTCTTATAGAAATCGTACCATTGCTTGTGGCGGCTGCGGTAAAGGCGTGTGAGTCGATGCCTCCGCGAGCGACGACGGTGAGGACGGGCATGGCAGCAGCAGGACCATCGGTAGCCAGGGCTACCGTTGGTGAGCACTGGAAGAGAGGGAACGAGTACACAGAGCTTCGTCGGGATGTCGAACCATCCATCCCGCCCTCTCTACTGCCTCCGGTTGGAGTGGTAGTCATCCCGGGTGGGGCGAGGGTGGCAGCGGGGTGGAGAGCGGTGGTCGGACGGGTGTGTCACTTGCGTCACGTGGCGCTGGCGGTGTTGGCTTTGGTCCGATTTGGGTCAGCTGAGAGGCCCCCAACAGTCAGATCGATGAAAGGAGGGGGGGGGGGGGGGGGGAGGAGAAGAGGGCAAACATCGCACCCTCTACTGATGTCGTGTGAATACATTAACTAGAGATCGTCCCGGGTACGGATGCGGCGGATGAGCTCCGAGGTGGAGATGCCCTCGGTGCGCGGGAGGACACGTGTGATGCCCATGGCACGCGGGACGCGGTAGTAGATGTCGTCTTCCGTCTCGTACTCGACCGAGTGGACCACGAGGTGGATGTGGTTCTCAAGGATGAACTCTTCAGAGAGGCCAAAGCACGGCGAGTCCGGAATGACTCGGGTGGCGAGGCCCGAGGCGCGGACGGCGGAAACGCGCTCGTCGAGCGACATGACCGGGGTGCGGTGCTTGTACTGGTTGACGGAGGCATCGCCGACGACACCAACGATGAGGTGCGAGCCGAACGAGAGCGCAGCGCGCAGAACGCGGAGGTGACCGTAGTGCATGAGGTCGTAGACGCCGTCGACGTAGACGTTGATGACGGTGGTAAACATCGGGAGGTGGGTTGCCTCGCACACCTCCCAAAAGATGAGCACAAAGTAGGCGCCAGCGAGCGCGCCACACACAAAGTGGTCGAACGAGCCGACCATAAAGAAGACAACCACCCACGGGTGCAGGTCGCGGCCGGCCATCTTGGCCACAACCACGTCGGTGGTGAGGACCGAGAGCATGGCACCGTCAAAGATGATGGCATGGAGCGAGACGTCGCCGGGCTCGATGAAGAGCGAGGCGTTAAGCCACGAGTGAAGCGACGGCATCAGGGCCCCGTAGAGGAGGCAGAGCAGCATGCCGTTGCGGGTCGCCGACCGCTCGCTGGGGATCGCAAGTACGGCGTAGACAGCAACGCTGACAACCAGGACGACGTAGACGCCAAAGGCGACAGCCTCGAGCAGCGCATCGGTATCTTGCAGCAGCTCCAGCGCCCGAAGGCGAGCCGCCTCGACGTAGGCGACCTTGGTAGCACCGACGGCGACCGAGATGTCCACGGTGGCAGCCCAGTGGGCAACAGCGTTGATGCTCGGAACGAGGACCGCGTCAACCGCGTGCGACCAGGCCGCGGCAACGGCATCAACGCCAACAATGGCGCGGGTGGCGACAAAGGCGATGATGGCAAAAAGAGCCTCGCCCGGGCCGGTGGTGAAGCCCCAGTGGAGGGTGCCGGTGGCGAGGCCGCGGAGATGCCAGAGCAGATAGGCAAGGCCAAAGGCCTGCGACATGTACCACAGCGTGGAGGTTTGGGTGACCCCGGCGACATAGGCGAGGGTAAGGGCGAGGAAGATGCCACCGAGGTTGGCGCAAGCGTAGTCGAAGAGCTCGCCCAGCGGCGAGTCGTTGCGTGTGGCCCGGGCGTGGCGGCCATCGATGCCGCGAGGCACTGGTAGGCAAAGAGGAGAAACGAGGCAATGGCAGCCGTCATCTTGGGCGCCGTCTCCATGTGCAGAACACATAGATAGAGAGCATGACAGACACAGAGGAGGCCAGCCAAGGTGAGCACATTCGGTGCGACCGTCGCCGGCACGAGTCGGACAAGCACGTCCCACAGAGGGCCAAAGACAACGTCCGTAAGTGTCCGTCCCTGGGACCGATACCGCCACTCGCTCAGTCGCCGCTTCTGTGGGTCCGTCAGAAGGATATCCACCATTGCTGAGCCTTGTTGGAGTCGTGTGTGCCGTGCGACGGGGGTGCCAAGGCAAGCAGCGGCGTGGTCGTGGGGGCTGGGAAAGGGTGTCTGGTCGGATCGTGTGCGCGGGCGACACGCGCTGGTGACGGTGACTGCCGGGCAGGGGAGGAGAGCAGGTTTTATGGCTTTCGCCGCTTGGACCGTCGCGCTTTGGACGGCGACGACGGATCATGGCCGATGGTTCGCTTGCGCTTGGCTTTGGCTTTGGCCTTGGCCTTGGCCTTGGCCTTGGCCTTGGCCTTGGCCTTGGCTTTGGCTTTGGCCTTGGCCTTGGCATCGCGCACGGCTTGGCGCTCGGCTCTCTTACGAGCCATGTACATCTTGGTCTCGGCAAGGGTAGTGTAGGCAAAGTTGGAGGCGGGGCGCGGCCCCGTCTCGCGCTCGGCGAGGTAGCGGGCGGTCTCGATGTTGTTGCGGATGACGTGGAGCTGACGCTTAAAGAGAGCCTCAGAGGCTGCGACGTTGGGCAAGTAGCCGACGACGCCCGAGAGGGCGCTCGGTGGGAGGACGCCGCGCGATACCAGCGGCGGCTCGTTGACCAGCGCTTCGGAGGCGGCAGACATGGCGGCGTCGCGGGTCGAAGGCTTGGTGGGCAGGCAGCCGCACGACTCGTGGCCGGAGCATACATGGGTTGACGCCGCGGCGAGGATGGCAGCCGTCGAGACCCGCGGGCCCTGTCGAATCGGCCGGAGATACGCCGCCAGCTCAGTCTGGGCGTGCGCATCGGCAGCAGAAGTTGGAGCGGAGCGCTGCACGGCAGGCGGTGCAGGTGCAAGCGCCTCGGACGTCATCGACGTCGCAGACGCAACCTCCGACGCCGCCACAGACGACAGCTCGGACGCAACTTCATCCACAAGCTCGCCGTCCGACTCCAGATTTGAGATGTCGAGGACCACGTTGCCGCCCCAAGCAGGCCGGGGCCTGGCGACGACGCCGGCTCAGACGAGGCGTCATCGAGCTCGTTGATGTCGAGGACAATCGCCGGCGCCGGTGACGATGAGGTGAACGACGACGAGGCCGACTCGCCGGCGTCCGAGCTTGCATTCGGAGTGGGTGGCGGCGACGCTGCGCTCGAGCCGGCGCCGTCGTCGGTTGGTGGCAAGGTGCTCGCGCTGCCGCTACCGCTCGACGCTGCCCGCGAGCTCGAGTCTACCGATGGAGGCGGTGAGGAGTCCGCTGAGGCCACAATCTCGACAGACGATGCCGAGGCCGAAGTCGAGGCCGAAGCCGACGCGACCGACGGGTCAGCTGCTGGCGCGGCTGCCGGCTTGAGCCACTTGGATGCACCGGCCGAGCGGGCCGAGCTCGGCGCTGACGGACCGGCATGGCGCTCCCAGGCATAAGCCGGTCTGGAAGTGGCAGAAGAGGTCGCCGAGGCAGCCGATCGGGCCGACGCGTTGCCGGAACTGCGTCCGCTGTCCTTTAGCCACCACTTGCCAGAGCGCGGAGCGTCAGCATCGGCGGCAGCGGCCGTGCCGGCGGCAGCGGTGGCATCGTCGTCGTCTGCCAGAAAGTCATCAAGAGTCTCTGCCTCGTCAAGAACAGACGAGCGGCGTGAAGATGCGGTCGAGGAGCGGCGGGAGGATGCAGCAGACGAGGCTGAGCCGCGGGGACGGAGCCACTTGCTCCCACCGCGGGCAGCCGGCGCAGACGACGGGCGGGAGGCGCCTGCGGGTGGACGGAGCCATGAGGAGGTCTTGCGTGGCTTGTTGGCTTCGGGCGCAGCCATAGTGACGACTGTCCCACGCAGCGAGGCGTCATCGAGCATGGACCGTAGCTCCATGGCCCTGTGCCGACCAAGAGGAGTGACTGTTGTCTGTGGGATGGGGGAGGGGCGAGGGGCGGTGGGGGGGACGGGGGGAGGTTGGCGCCAAACAGTCCAACGATTAATTGATGGTGTGAGCCCATGATTAATCAATGGTATGGTGTGAGCCCATGATTAATCAATGGTATGGTGTGAGCCCATGATCAATCAATGGTATGGTGTGAGCCCATGATCAATCAATGGTATGGTGTGAGCCCATGATCAATCAATGGTATGGTGTGAGCCCATGATCAATCAATGGTATGGTGTGAGCCCATGATCAATCAATGGTATGGTGTGAGCCCATGATCAATCAATGGTATGGTGTGAGCCCATGATCAATCAATGGTATGGTGTGAGCCCATGATCAATCAATGGTATGGTGTGAGCCCATGATCAATCAATGGTATGGTGTGAGCCCATGATCAATCAATGGTATGGTGTGAGCCCATGATTAATCAATGGTATGGTGTGAGCCCATGATCAATCAATGGTATGGTGTGAGCCCATGATCAATCAATGGTAGGGTGGATGAGCCCATGATTAATCAATGGTATGGTGTGAGCCCATGATCAATCAACACTGTGCCTACAGACGATGGTATGGTGTGAGCCCATGAGTCAATCAATGGTATGGTGTGAGCCCATGATCAATCAATGGTATGGTGTGAGCCCATGATTAATCAATGGTATGGTGTGAGCCCATGATCAATCAATGGTATGGTGTGAGCCCATGATTAATCAATGGTATGGTGTGAGCCCATGATCAATCAATGGTGTGAACAAAGGTGTGCCTATGGTTTATCCCCCTTCCATTCCCCACACCCTCCCCACACACCCCCCACACGCCCCACCCCCTTCCCATCCACCTCACTCTCCACCGCACCCATGACCTCGCTGCGCGTCAAGCTGGACGCCCTCGGCTACCCAGAGGCAGAGAGCCTGCATGTGGACGGTACGTAGAGCACAAGAAGCCGGCAGCAGTACCGGCCCCGGTTTCTATCGGCCAGAGCAGGGGGAGGGGGCGGGGAGACGGTGGTTGGCAGGACAGACTCACTCATACGACACGGCTTACAGATGACGATGGTGTGCGCCAGCTGCTGATCTGGCTTGAGGCGACAAAGATTAGACGGTACTCGGTCGAGGAGCGGAGCCAGCTGGTCGATGCGCCCCTGGACGAGGCGTGGCGGGCGTATCTGGCTGCCCTTGATGCGCCGTATCCGCCCGATGCCGGCGCTCGTGCCCAGGCGCTGGCGTGGGTCGTTGGTGTTGCTATCTCGCTCGAGTATGCTGATGCTGTTGCCCGGGGTGCCATCGATGCCGAGGCTGACCCCGGGACCGAGGTGGTCGCCATGGATGAGGAGCGCCCGGGAGCTGCCGTCGCTGATGACGCCTCGCTCCTGGCCGACGACGCCATAGTTGGTGCCATCCGCGCCCTTGCCGCTGCTCTGGGCATGCCAGCCGAAGGCGAGCCGCTCGACACACTCCGCGCCGCCTGTCACGCCGTCCATCGCCGGTTCGGTGCCTCGGGCGCCGCAGCCTCGGCCGCCGCCCTCGACGAGCTCACCGAGGCCGAGGCCGTCGAACTTGCCACCAACATGGAGAAGACCTTCCCGCTCGGTTTTGACACCGGCGATCCGCTCGTCAACCGCGCCGCTGCCATCCTCAAGCTCCTCTACGTCCACGACCTCCGCGAGCTCCAGACCCAGATCAACGAGCTCATTGTCGCCATCCAGAACGTCACTGCAGACCCAAAGACCAACTCGAAGCTCGGCAAGGTCGGCCGATAAGCGCCCACCTCCTCCCCTCTCGCTCTTCCCCGCACGTAGAACCTTCTGTAGCATACAACCAAATGACCAGAGCAGGCACCCACCGTTCCACAGCTGCGATGGTCTCGTGGCTTGTTGGGACCATCTTCCCGCTTCCCGCCCTCTGCCGACCCTCGACCATCTGCATCGCATCCACTTGACGCCAACCGAGTCGCCGCCATGGGATTCTCCCTCGGTTCGCTGCTCTACGCCTCGCTGCTCCTTGTCAACGCTCTAGCCATTCTCCATGAGGAGCGGTTCCTCCAGCGGAGTACGCAGCACCTCTTCTTACCCTTCCTTGCCTTCCCCCTAGCCACCCATGCCCTTCCCCTTCCCCCCGTCCCCCTCACCACACACACACACACACACGCACACACACACGCGCACATACATACATACACACATACACACACACGCGCACACACACATACACACATACACACCCGCATACACACACACATGCACAAACCCCCCCTCCCCCTCCTCCCACCACTCACACATGCCATCGTCCTGTCTCTGATGTCATCGGGCCAGTCGGCTGGGGAGTGACACACAACGCAGATCCCTCGGTCAAGGACCAGATCTCCAACCTACTCAAGTCGGTCCGCATGCTACTGCGGAGTACGTCCATCGATCTCATCTTGCTCTCATCTCCCTTTCTTCCCCCATCTCCCTCTCATCTCACTCATCTCATCTCCCCCCCCCCCCCCCACCACCACCACACACACAGTCCCGCTCATCGTCGTGAACATCATCGTCATGGCCTACGCCATGATCCTTGGCGCATAGTTCACCTGAACTCGCAAAGTCATGGCTATCTTTGTGTCAAAGAGTGCCTAGGAAGCAGTGCGAGGCTGCAAGCGCAACTACCGGGAGCATGAGGTTGTCGATGAGCTCCGAGGCGGCTTCGTAGACTGCCACCGTGGTGTTGAGTCCTATCAGCACTAGTGCCTCATTAGCTGCCGGCCAGCTCCCACTTCCGGCCCGCCATACTGCTGCACACGCTGCGCTTCCGGCCACCGCAGCAGCTGCGGTTCCCTGTATGCTCTTACGCGAGCCGGGCCACTTGATGCTCCCGTATCGCGTGCCTACAAATGACGCGGCGGCGTCGGCAACGCCCAGAACAACCACGCCCAGCGTCGTCACCACTGCCTCGACACCGTCACTCGCCGCCGCCCCTGCCGTTCTGTGAACCACCAGTGGGAGCGCACAGCCAATGAGCAGGTAGCTATGCGTCACCACAAGCACGCCCGAGTCGCGATCGTCGATGAACTGGTCCAGCACTCCGTCGAGCCAGCTCCCCACACACACGCCAAACACTTCCACACGCAGCACTCGGACCGTTTCTGCAACCACAAACATGCACATCGCCGCCGCGTACGCCAGCACCATCCATTCGCCGTCGACAAGTGTTGGACCCGTGAACAGCACCACAGCGAGCCCATGATACGCCTTGCGCACGTCGACAAGCGCAACGTCGCCGCCCAGCAGCCGCGGCAGCACAAACCCAAAGAAACACCCCAAGACCGCCAACCACGCTGTGACAATGCCCGGTTGTCGGACCACTCCCTCGTTCACCAACCAGTGTCCGAGCCCGGCTTCGCCCACCCGTGGATCTATCACACTCACTCCGCCCACTACTGCAACGCTCAGCGTGCCGCCATAGATCAGGAGCCTCAGCGATGCGGCGCTTGATGACGCCGCTCGGCGCCCGCTGCGTACAAGTGCCGCAATCAGCACCCCAGCAGCCAGGCCTGCTACCAGCACTCCCGCTACTGCCACTAGTCCAGCTACTACCAGGGCCGAGTCGATGCCAGCGACCACTCCTGCGCCCAAGCTCCCCATCCCCGCCGAGACTACCAGCGCCTCGCCCAGCGCCAACGATCCAACAGCAGACCACGGCAGCGAGGCAGCGCAGACCATGGCGCAGCCCATAGCAACGCCCGACCACATACCCAGTCCCGGCGGCGCCGCCAGACAAGGCATCGCCGCCATCGCTGCGTACCCGACCGCCGCCACCCACCGCCTCGGCGCCGCCGACGTCCACGCCGCCGCCACCACCGCGACACAGGCAGCAAACGCCGCCAGCCCACCGCCACCACCGCCACCACCACCGCCAGCCGCCACCACCACCGCCCACGGAAGGAGTACGCCGGCTTGTCCGCCGTCAGCACGCGGCTCCGTCCGGCGAGCCCATACGGGTGTCGCCGGGCTCGGCACCGACGCAAGCACCGCGCTCGCCACCGCACTCGCCATCAGCACCGCCCAACACCCAGCCTCTCCTCCTTCCGCACTCGTCCAGGTCGCCCACGCCGCGAGGCCCCATGCCACTGCAAGCTCGGCCCGCCACATGGCTCGCTCTGCCGATGAGAGAGGTTTATCGACGGCCGCTGTCTCTCCTCGCACCGCTCGGCCCGCAGCTACAGGAGCTGGTCCGCCCCAGCTTGGAGAATGGCTGCCGGATCAAACGACGACTCGGAGCCATCGTCATCATCGAAGGCCTCAATCGTGCTGCCAGCCATGTTGCTCTCGCCCGGTGAGAGGATATGCTCTTCGAGGTCGAGGTCATCAGACAACAGCTCGTCGAGCCCGGAGAGCTCGTGTGGCAGCCGGCCCGATGAGACTCGCGCCGGTGTCGTTGCCGGCTGGCGGCCTGAACGCGCTCCCGGCCGAGTGCGAACTCGGATCCGCTTGCGAACACTTGGCGTGTCTGTGCCCTGAGGCTCCGCCTCAATCTGCGGATCCGGATCCAGTGAGACGGGCGGCGGCGACGGTGACGGCGACGGCGACATGCCCCAGGTCGTGGGCGTTGCCATCGGCGACGGCGACGGCGACCGCGAAGACTGTAGCTCCTGCTCCCAATCGTCTCGCTGGTCCAGCGACAGAGACTCGAACGGCTGCGGCTGAGTCGGAAGCGGCCGTGCTGGCGGATGCGGATCCAGATTTCCGCGAGCATATCCGCTGCTAGGCTGGGCCCTCAGCGTCTTCTCGGCGACCGTGAGCCGCGCCGACAGTGTCTGGACCTCGATTTGCAGAGAGCGGACGTCGTCGGCAACTTCACGGATCGTCGACTCGACAGTAGCGGTCGAAGCGCCGGCGTCGCGTGCGACGTGCGCAGCCTCGTCAGCGACAGCCAGCGCTTCACGCACGTTGTCGGCGATGGCGCCGACCTCGGTCTCGAGCGTGTCGAGGCGGAGTTCGGGTGAGGCACCAAGCGAGCCATCGCTGCTGATGAGACCGGTTGCTTCCATCGGCACAGGTGCAGGCTTCTGGCGCGCCTCTTCGGCTGCTGACTCCAGGCACTGGACCCGCTCGACGAGCTGGGCGCGATCGTCGTCAGCCACCATCAGCGCATCCTGTAGTGTCGCTGTAGCGGTTGTCGCCGACACTGCTCTTTGCTCCAGTTCCTCACACCGCGCCTCGAGCGCCTGTATGCTGTCTGCCACGTCGTTGATGGCGGACGACGGCGCGGCGGTCGACGCTGCCGCCGCCAGGCCAGTCATGTGTGCGGTGTGGGTTGCTAGACGCGCATCCAGCGACGCTGACAACTTGTCGGCCGAGTGCGCCGCAGCAAGGAGCTCGGCCGAGACCATGGCCGAGAGCGATGACACTGTTGCTGAGAGCCGCGCCACCTCGGACGACGACTCGCTCGACGACTCGCGAATGGTGGCGATGCGCGCCTCCATCCGCGCGGTTGTCGCCGCCAGCATCTCCTCGACTGCTGCCAGCCGACCGGCCACCTGCATCGACTCGCCCAGTCTGGCCTGCGGTGTCGCCCTCTCGCCGCTCTGACTGCCTGTCGCCGCCCGCTCGCGCTCGCCCCGCGCCATCGCCACCGCCCGCTCCACCTCGCCCATCGCTGCCGACGCCGTGTTCATCCGCGAGTCGAGGACAGAGACTCGGTCGCCGAGGCGAGCCAGTGCGTTCGCCTGGGCATCTAGCGCAGCTTCAAGTGCACGCTCGGACCGGAGACGAGCCTCGGACTCTGCCATGATGAGCGCGTGGAGGCGGGCGATCTGGTCATGGACGCCCGACGTCGCTGCCAGCGACTGCCCGCCGCCGCCGTCGCCATCTCCACCACGACCAACTGCCGACGACGAGAGCGACGACGAGAGTGCCGAGAGCGAGAGCGCCAGTGAATCAGCCCGGGACCCATCACCGGCGCCGACTCGGGCCGAGCTGGTCAGCGGCGACGGGCGCTCGGTCTTGGACAGCGAGGCATTCAGCACACACTTCCAGCACCCGCAGCCAGCACGACACCTGCGCGACATAGAGAAGAATGAGGGGGAGAGACAAGGACGGGTTGGTTGGACTGCCGGTTGTTGTCTGCTGCAGACGCTGCTAACTGCTGCTGTGTGGCCTAGTCTTGTCCTGCCGCCGCCCGCGCGCAACTTCAGGCGCCAAAGGCTAAACAGCGAGCCGTGTTCGGCCGCTCGCGCCGGGACCGGGTCGGGACACGCCCGACTCTGCCCATCACCCTCACTCCCGGCCACTGGCGACAATCATCATGTCCATGTTTGTGTGTGTTAGTCCATGCGCAAGGTGCGCGACGAGTTGTACGAGCCGAGCGAGTTGACATCGTAGGTGGAGCGCCGCTTGGCGGGCTCGAGCTGGGTGCCCTTGCCGACAGACTGGCGCCGGTCGTCGGGAGCCGCGCCAGAGCCCGTAACATAACGAGTGAGGCCGCGGCCAAAGTTACGCCAGCACTGGAAGGCAACGCCACAGAGGATGACGCGAAGAAGAATGGCAACCACGCCAGACGAGACGAGCTGGCCCCGCGGCAGCTTGTCGTAGCCCTTGTTCTTGACCGTCAAGAAGCGCACAATCTTGAAGATGATGTACGACGGCTCCAGTGGTGAGAGGATAAAGAACAGGTACATGGCCGGGTTCGACTCCTGGCGGACGGCGAGCACGACAATGATGGTGTACGCAATGACCAGGAGCACCGCGCAGATGTTGAGTGCAAACTCGGGATCGTCAGTCTCCAGAGCAAGCGCCGTGTTCTGGGCAATGAGGATGATGGCGAGCGCAAAGTCGAGCTTGACCAACGTGACCAGAATGAGGTATGTCCGGTACAGCGCCCGCATCCGCGGGTCCGCGCCCACCTTCTTGTACACCGACCACCCGAACTCAGAGTACACCTTGAAGCCCAGGAAGAACACAGTCACTACACCCAGGAAGAGGACCGTAAACTGCGCAATGAGCAGCCCGTTCGAGATGTCGCCCACAAGCTGCACAAATGCGTAAATGCACATGAGGACTGAGAAGAGCAGGAAGGTCACAAGCTGGATCGAGTTCTCAAACAGCACCGCGTCCCACGCAAACAGTACAAAGAACACCAGTGAAACAATGAGCAGAATCGCATACACAATGCGTGCATCCCGCTGCGGTGTGTCCGGCTCGGAAGAAATGTCGTCGATAATCGCAATGACCACCCCCAACAGAATCGCAGACACCACCATGATGACTGCCAGGAAGACCTTGCCCCAGAAAATAATGTCCCGCAACCTTTGTGCGAGGCCCTATGCCACAAACCACGTCCGCCTCTCCATGAGTCCCCCCCCCCCCCCCTTGCCCCTCCCCCTTTCTCCTTCCTACTTCCTTCTCCATGCCTACACGCCCCTCCGCCTCGTCTTCTGCCTCCCCCTTTCCCACCCCCCCCCCCCGCCATGCCCAACAACCGCATGCGAAAACTCGACGCCAACGATGACACGCCCACACACCCCCTCCCTCCCTCGCTCCCCCTCGGCCACCCGCATCCACAGGACGGAACAGACATGCCTATGTATCACAAACCTTACACAGGCCGCAAAAACAGCAGCACCTTCCCCTGGACCGTGCCTCTGCTCCGCCTGCTTCGTCCTGGTTGCGGTACGCGCTCGCCTTCCCCTTCGCCGCCGCCACACTTGGCGCCGGACTTGGTGTTCGATGGGCGAGACCATAGCACACAAGAAGGCACACGACATCCCGACGACAGCCTTGGCTTTTTACCCTCCCTCCCCCTCTTTGTCCCTGCCTGGCTTCCCCTCCTGTCACAAGAAACAGCTACCGCTACATACCATTGTTCCACCTCCCCCGGAAACGCCTTCCTCCGGTTTCTGTGCGAGTCGAGAGGTACTAACCTACGTGTTTCTTCCCCCCCCTCCCCCCCCCCCTCCCCTTTCTGTCTCGGCCGAGACACACACTGCGCCACCCCTGCAGAACCCTAGCGTTTTTCCCCTAGCCCAACACGACTTTTTCAACGTGTGGGCGTGGTCACGTGAATTGGGCAGTGGCTTGGAGATCGTGATAAGGGCGGCGAGTGTACGTAGACTACGGGGAAGGCTACGCAATCTGTTGTCGAGTCCGCTGGCTCCCACGGTAGGCTACAGGGTGGGACGCCGGCCGCCGGCGTACGCCACGCGCACTGGCCTCCTCCACTCCTCGTCCGCGTGCCGGCAGAGGGTTGCAGACAGACTTGCGCCATCAGAGGAACAAGTGCTGGCCCGACGGGGCCTGCTGCGGAAAAGCAACGTAGTTGCCCTTGTCAACATCCTCAGGATCCAGCAGGACGGTGGCCTCGTCGTCGGACGAGTCAAAGTATGTGGCCGAGTCTTGGACCGACATCGCGCCCTGCGGGGTGTGGCCGGGGCAGAAGCAACGGCGGACGCGGTAGACAGCCTCGAGCTTGGCGCGGCGGAAGAGGTAGCGCACCTCGCGGTTAAACTGCTTGGCGCGCGGATTGGAGAGCGAGAGCGCGTAGACAAAGTAGCCGATGACAATGAGGTTAAAGGTGAGGAGCAGGAGCGAAATGATGGCGCCGCCGTCGATGGCGATCCAGTCGACCTGGATGATGAGGCCGGCGGTAAAGGTGACTTGCAAGGCGTAGAGGGTCATGACCTCTGCAAAGTTCTGCGTCTCGGTGTTGTACGGCCGGGCCGAGAGCTGGAGCACGATTGAGAGCTGCAGGACAACGATGGCGAGCAGCGGGCCGACAAACGAGTGGTGGTTGGGCACAAAGAGCGCGATGACGAGGCAAAACTTGCGGGCCGTGACCACCAGCTCCCACCAGTAGTAGCGCGACGAGTACATGCGGTACGAGAATCCGAGCATCGAGTACATCCACGGCATCTTGAGGTCGTTGCGGAAGCGGTAGAGGAGTCCGCCCATGAGCAGCGGCACGCCGGCCATGTACACCACCATGACAAAGACGGCGGCAACGACGAGCCGCGAGTGCGCGGGTGTGTCGCACTCGGCGTACGGCGCAGCCCGGACGTACGACCGGCCTGTTGCCGGATCGCGGATGCAGGGCAGCGGAAGGAGGACCTGCCGCGCCACGTTGATGTAGTTGGCGTTGAGGAAGAAGAACAGGACGTAGAGGCCCTTATACAGCCACTTACGGACTTGATCGGCAAACGACTCGAGGCCCGACGGCGCTGCCTGATGCCAGGCCACGCCCGAGCAAAAGACCAGGAACGAGATAAAGACAAAGATGAGCGGCTGGATGGTGGCGCCCACAAAGTACGACTCGTAATCGAGCGACTCGATGAGGCACTGAAAGCCGAGGAGCTCAAAGTTGAGCGGCGAGAGAAAGGCATAAAAGCCAAGCAGCGGGCTCGACCACGCAATCGAGTCGAGGTACTTGTACAACGAGGTTGTTTGCAGGTAAAAGACGAGGATGGTGATGACCGACTTTTGCGAGGCGCCGACGCCCGAGAGCCGGTAGCAGAGGAAGAACATGCCGCACATGCACACAATGTACCACAGCAGCATCAGCAGCTGGACAACCGGTGTGCACTTAGCGCACTGTGGGCCGCGCGGGTAGTAGCCCGGCGAGCACTGGGCGCACATCCGCCCGTGGTAGCCTTTCGCGCAGGGAAAGCCCTCGACGCCATACTTGCCGACGTCGCTGAGGTCGACATCAATCGACTCACACGGGTTGTGCAGCAGCGACGAGTTACGGCACTCGAGGACGAGAGCGTCGGCGGCAAACGGGTCCGGCGAGAGCCAGTGCCCGTCGAGGACGGTGAACCGCATCCCGCCGCCGCACACGAGCGAGCGCGGGCACGGCCGACACAGGTTGCCCACGCCGTATGAGCCAGTGTCACACTTGCACTCGGTGTAGTTGTAGTACGTCGGCGAGACAGTGAAGAGGCCAGCCGACGGCGACGAGGCAACCCACGACGGGCAGTTGAACTTGGCATGGTTCGTCCCGTTGTACGTCCGCACCGAGGCGCCCGGCCGGAGGAAGCTCGGCATCGTCGGCACGCCGTCCTGCCCGAGTGCGCCGCGCATCCCGGTGTTGCTGCCGAGGTCCACCGACTTGAGGTACTGCATTCCGCCCATGCAGTTGGGAATCGAGCCCGTGAGCTGGTTGTCGGCAAACGAGGCGATGATGAGAAAGCCGGCGTTGCACAACTTTTCCGGCAGCGTTCCAGTCAGGTTGTTCTGCGAGAGGTAGAGGACGCGCATGTTGTACGACGCCTTGGTCGCTGTCCCAAACAGATCCTGGATAGCCTCCACCGAGCCATGCAGGTGGTTGGCGTCGAGGTTGAGCGAGGTGAGCGGCGCGGCTGCCAGCGAGGCCAACGGAACAAGCGTGTCGTTGAGCTCGTTGCGCGAAAAGTCCAAGAAGTTGAGCGTCGGCAGGACATCGGCTGAGAGCTGAGGGAGCGCACCGGAAAAGTGCTGGCAGCAGAGATTGAGCGAGAAGAGCTGTGAGAGGAGCGAAGTGCCTGCGCCCGGGATGGAGCCCGACAGATGGTTCGACGAGAGATCAACAAACGAGACCTGCGAGCCGAGGAACTTGAACAGGTCCGGCGGGAGGGTGCCTGTGAGGCCGTTAGAGCTGATCGAGAGGTACTCGATGGGCGCGAGAAAGTCGGACTCCAGAAGGGCGTCGAGCGAGCCGTGCAGTAGATTGTTGGAGAGGTCGAGGCGAATGAGCGCAGGCAAGTCCCCAAACAGCCGCGGCACCGTGTCGTTGATAAAGTTCTCGTAGACCACAAACTCGGCAATGGACGGCATGGCCGAGAGTGACGGCGGAAAGGTGCCTGTGATACCGTTGGTCGAAAAGTTGGCCGCAGACAGGTTTGGTAGGTTCGAGAGCCAGGACGGGAGCTCGCCAGTGAGCTTGTTGAACGAGACGTCGAGCGTAGTGAGCGCCGTGCATCCCGAGAGGTCCGGCAGCGAGCCGTTAATAAAGTTGTGGTATAGCGAGAGCGCCGTGAGCTGCGCAAAGCTCCCAAACGTTGCTGGCACCGTGCCCTCGAGCTTGTTGTCAAACAAGTTGAGGACCGTGATGTTGACATTCCACATCGACGGGATCGTGCCCTGCAGCCGGTTGCTCGAAAGGTCAACGTGGACGAGGTTTGGCAGGCCCGCGAGCTCGTGCGGAATGTACGAGTACAGCATGTTGCCGGGGAGATAGACTTGGCTCAGCTGCTGGAGCATGCCCAGCTCCGACGGGAGCGAGCCCACTAAGTTGTTGCTTGGCATGTAGAGGGTGATAACGCACTGGTGCGAGTCGCAGATCACCCCACGCCACTGGCAGTGATCCGGCCCGGTCATCCACTGTCCGTCGCCGCTGCCCTGGTTGTCCCAGCCGGATCCGCCCGTGACGTTGTAGAACGTGGCTAGCGCAAACTGCTCCATCGACGGCGAGCAGAGCGGCGGCGGTGGTGGCGACGGCGGCGGTGGCGGCGATGGTGGCGGCGGCGGCGCAGGAGGCGGAGGCGGCGGAAACATAACACCG